CAGACCCGTTTGTCGACAGTGCAAATATCCCGTGCGCCTTATGGTCCGAAAAATAAGGTACTATGATTGCAGTTAATTTAAAGAATTTTTAAATAATCAAATGAAAATCGTATAACATGAGACTAAAATGTGCCCCTAAGTGGTTCTCTGGTGACCTTTTTAAGAAAAATGTGACTGCATTTACATAAACATAACCTTTTAAAAATGTAGCTTCATATATTTTTGTAGCTTGCATCAAAGTATTTAAACCCAGGTTTTCAGAGTTCAGTGTGAGTAATGAGATACAGCTGTTGTTAGAAAGTCGTGTATTTAAATGTAAGCAGAACTAATGAACAAGACATCTGTGATTTAAAAAAGAAATAAAAACAGCAGACTGTGATAGGTGGATGAAAAAACATGCACATAAGTAGTGTCACTAATAATTAAGCACAGACTAAACTGTACTACAGTACAAAAATACAGTACAGTACGGAGACTAGTAAAAGAAAAATGTGATTATTGTTTTCAGTTTTCTTAGTAGATGTTTCACATAGGTCTTAAAATATTCCAGATTCCAGGATCTTTGGAAGCCAGTTCAGCTGGTTGTGATCCTCAAATCATGACCTTGTTCTAAATCCAATCATTTTTATTGATGATGATGATAATAATAATAACAATATATGAATCAATAATGCAAATCTGTTCTTCCAAATGTGGATTAATTTTGCCTTTTTAAAAGTGGAAAATATTCGTGTTCTGTATATAGACACAAATCAGTCAATCTATTACATACAGGTTGTCATGGCACCAAAATTGAAAGACAGCTAGAGAAAGTAATCTTCTGTTCACAGTGATTGAAAAAGTGCTCAAAGTTTTTTCTGAGACCATTAATGCAATTGGGTCCTAGTTTCTATTAATTTTGGTTCCCTATTGTATTACTTGTGTTTTTTGTTTACTTATAGATTAGTTTAGTTGTATAAGTTCCCTTCTTGTTCCCCAAGTCTCTCCTCTGTGTTTTTTCTCCTTTTGTGTCTGCTTTGTGAAGTCAGGTGTGTCTTTGTGTTTATCTTTTTGTGTGTTTGTCTCAGTTTTAGGTTTCCTCTATTATTTTTCTAGTCCCTTGTATTACGTGCATTGTGTGTAGTTTTGTTTCCCTTTGTCGCATTAGTTAGATTCTGTTCACCTGTGTCTTTTTTACCCCAGATGTTTCCTCTCTCTTTACCTCATCTGTGTTTGTCTGTAAGTCCTCAGTTTTACTCAGTTCTTTGCCATGTCCTCCTTATCCCATATGTTCCCCCTGGCGACTCCGTTGTGAATCCCTCGCTGCTGCTCTACATCACTGTGTATTCTGTATTTTTGTCCTCAGCACTTCCTTCCTTAGGTCACATCTCTGTCTTTGGAGCGTTTGGGTCTGTCTCTTACCTCCCGCACAGATAATCCATGAAAGACTGATGCAGAAAAAAGTTGAGGCCATCTCAGTTTTGATTTGTTGCTCCTGGAAATGATACGTAGCCATTCGCTTCTTTGCCGGTAGTGTGATCACACTCAGCTGTACATGCAGACATGCCTCGGGGTGATTTAATATGTGCAAACATTATGGAATAATTGAACAAATTGAAGGATTTAAACCTGTCCTAATAAAACAGAATTTAATAGTGCGTAATCCTGCCACCAAATTATGTGCAGTCATGGAATAAATTTCCCTTTAAGACGCTGATGACACTCCGCTGCATGTGCCTGTAATTCTCACGTTATTAAATTAAAAGGCCCCTGTGCCTGCCATGAAAAACTGGGTGTCACATCGTTTCCTGCTACTAACTATGATTAGCCTACAGTTTAGATAGCAGTTTGATCAAATAGTAGAGATTCTGGACAACTATGATTTCTCAAAGGGCAAGTGTTTGTCGTCGTGTTCGATCCTGCTCTCTGCTGTGATCGTCACATCGAAGAAAGCTCCACGACCACCTGTTTCCATTTACACACTTAAATCTGCTCTGCTGTGTGCTCACTTTCATGCAGACTTCTCAGATATTTCCTAAAACAGTCTTCACTTGTCTTCATGACAGTTTAGTTGTTTTTGTACAGCAATGCCATGATCTGTGGAGTTTTTTTAGTGCAGTTTTCTGGTTTCTGTTTTTGTTAATTGTTGTTTGTTGTTTGGGTTACTATTCCAGCCGTGTCTCTGTGTGAGTTTTTCACCTCTGTGTGTGGTTTGGTTCTTTTGTTATTTGGTGTTTTATTTTGGTAGTCATCATTTGTCTCCTGTGCTTTGTATTTTTATTCCTCCCTTGTGATTGTGTTAATTAAGTTCCTGTTTCCTGCATTTCATGATAAAAAAGGAGCCAAATGCACGATGTATATAAATATAAATAAAGCATTAATGGCTGATTCCACCTAAAAACTAATTTAAAAGTTGAAAACAAACATTCTGTCTTTTTTTTTTTTTTTTTAAACAAAATAAAAATGGAAGATGAGGAAACTAAAATGTAGAGACAACAGAGTGCATCATGGAGTCTGCAGGAAAATGTGAACACGCAAAAATCTGTTTCAAAATAAAATACAAGACGGGACACCAAAATAAGATGTTCTCTGCATTAAAAAAAAGAAAACAAACTAATAATAATACAGTTATAAGTAAATGTGGATGAGATTTATCAGATTTAACTGGTTATTTTACAGAAGTGATCACTGGAGTTTTAAGTTTTTATTTATTTATTCAAAATAAGAATAATGGACTTGCAGAGGGATCCGAGTTTCTTCTTCTACACTCAATATTTGTCCTCTGTGTTTAAAAAAAAAAAAAAAAAAAATCTAAAACAAGAGTACCATAATAAAGCTAAAAAAGTGGTTTCATTTGTTTAAATACTTATTAATACTTTATTTAAATTATTGTCAAAGTGGTGCTGAAATGTGTGCTTTTATTCTTTTAGGCACCAGCTGCAGGAGCTGCGTCTGAAGCAGGAGCAGAATGAGCACTACCAAAGGAGAGGCCGGAGGAGAGACTCGCAGGGGGAGACTGCAGGGGAAGGAGTCAAACCACGAAGGGCCCCATCAGCCCCGACCCCCATTTCTAACTGCGACCCAGCATTGGTGAGGCTGTGTTTGAAGGTGCAGTACCCACATGTAACCACAAGAGGGAGACACAGCTTCAGTCCGTGATGAATGGCTTTGATTCTGGCTGGTCTTTCTGTCAGAGTATTGTTTAGATTATCTAAATAATATTCCTGATCATTTTATTCAGTTTTAAATAAACAGATTTTATTTTCAGTACAGCAAACCAATGATATTTTCATATATTTTAAAAACCTGCATATACATCGAAGCAATAAAAACTACTTGATTTAAATGTTCTTTCTCCCCCCCCAGCCTCCTGTGTCCGGCCTGTCAGCAGCTCCGGAGTCTGCAGAGGTCCAAGAAGAGGAGCAGGAGCATCTGGATAAGGAGGAGGAGGAGGAGAAGGTGGTGGAAGAGAGGGAGGAGGAGAAAAAAGTGGTATTAATAGGCGACCACGAGCAGCTCAGCGTGCTGTACCGGAGGCAAAAACTAGTGCAGGACCTCGGGGTGGTGAGCCAGATCCAGCAGCTGCTGCAGGGCCACAGAGAGGGAGGGGGAGCAAACGACTTCTACTCCCAGCAGCAGAGAAATCATCAAAGGCAACACAGGAAGGTAAGACCTGACCACCAGTCCATGCAAAATAAACCATTTCTCATTTATTTATTTATTTTAGTTTATTAAAATAAACTAAATAATAATAAATAGTTTATTCATTATTAACTGACAGTTGCCATCATCCTTTTTTATTTCAGTTGGATTCACTGACACATTTTTATCAGAGGACTAAAGAGCAGGACATACCTGTGCAGGTACTCTCCAGCCAAATTAATCCACTGCTCTTCTTTCTTTATTTTAAATCAGTGCTCATAAACTTCAGAAATTAATCATGTCAGCTGCCCTGTCTCTTTAACTTTCAACTTTAATAGGTGGTCAGCCTTTCTTCCTCAGTCTTAATAGAGAATTAAAGGGAAAAGAACATTTTCTATGATTGTTTTGTAGCTTCTCGTTCCTCAGCAGGACTGCAACAGCAGTTATTTTCACTGCTTATTTTCAGTTTTTATTTTAAAGATTAATTTTTGTCTGTGTATTAAAATATTAAAATGTACACTTTTAGTTTATTATTATATATGATTAAAAAAAACCCAGCAAATTATTATTTATGAACAGCCTGAACCAGTGAAAACGTTTTAATTTTACTCTTATAATAATTAATAGTTGATTAAAATCCATGATAATTAATGTTGTTTTGAGCAACAAGTTGATTTAATCAGTTATTCTTTGCATGTCTGTTTGTAACACATGGTGTTATTCAGGCTTTGCTCTGGATTATGAGTTGAAGAAACATTTTCCTCGGCATGCAAAGCTCAGGTTGTTTGTAAATTTGATGGTTTTTACCTCTGAAAGTGATGAAATCCAAAACACATCAGCATCAGCGTCAGCGGTTCGGCAGCGGTTTGGATATATAAACAGCCAAAAATGATCATCAGAGGAGAATGAATGAAGTGGGTTAACAGTTCATAAACCTGACTGATAATTCACTGTGCTGAATAATCATTATGGCACAGAATCTAAACGGCATCGTTTTATCGCTGTGCTCGCAGCATCTCGGGTCCGTCATGACTCAGCAGCGTTTGCTCCGGCCCACTGTGCACCGCACCTGCCCGAACGGCGAGTCCAAGAGCCACGGCAGAGTGGGAGAAATACGCCGGATCGTCAGCCCCCAGCAGGCGTCTTGGCCAGGTAACCATACTGAGATCTCAGCACAGAGAGGTATCGCTGGTTCATTTTCAGCCTAGCAGCAGCTTCTGCAGGCTTTTCTCTCAATATCCAGCTCCTGCTTCCTGTTTACTAAGGAGTCTTTGGTACGACTGTAACACTGGAGATGTATAAATAAAACTGAATTTAATGTCTTTTCCCCTCCTGCTGTTTTCTGTTTTCTGAAACATGAACATCACTTCAAGAAAATGTAGAAATACATTTTTTTTTTAATCACCAAAAATGCATAAAAAATTAAAATACACGGGAGAAGTGTTTAAATCTACATAAAATTACCATCAACCATTAAAATTACCATGAAAATATTAAAACATTTATTTACTGTGTCCCATTTTGTTTTGTTTTTTTTAACATTTTTATAAATAAATAATCAGGCTGTGCTATTAGTTTAGAAAAAAATCTGTTGATATTATTTCATTTGCAATAATTTCCACACACACATAATTAAAACATCAGAAAACACAATGGGCTCTTGTGGAAATGGTAATAGCATTTTTTTAATATATATATATTAACTATTCAGAGTGAGGGATTTGTGTGTGTGTGTGTGTGTGTGTTTGTCTCAGACTTCTTCTTTCTTCTGTTTTCAGTCAGCGGCTCTCTGAGCAGCTTCTACGCCGACGCCCGGTCCCGTCCCGGCATCCCGACCATAAACTACATCTCCAAAGGAGGCCCTCGATGCACCAACGACGTGTCCCACGACCCCGACGCCCTGCGCAGCCTGCTCGTCATCTCCACGTGCGTCCCGCTGCTCCGGAGGCCTGGCTTCCCTCACAGAGAGACTCAGCACGGTAAAGGGCAGTGAGGGCAGCGGGACCGCCGACCTCACGACGCCCCTCCGAGTCCAGACCTGCAGCTCTCACCTCACACTGAAGCTGCTCCACAGAGAAATACAAAGAGCCTTGAAGAGAGAAAATTCAGAAATACACAAAGCCTTTAATGGACATGGATGTTTGTATATAGCTTTTATACCTGCAAACCAGCTGCCTGCCACTGAACGAGCTCCAGCAAAGCCCAAACAGCATTACAGCTTCTTCTTTTTTTTAAATACTGACCCTGTGTACTCAGATTTATCCATTAAATCTAACCTGATGCATAAATTTGAGATAGATGTTTAATATTTTGCTCTGAGGATGAATTATTTCAAACAGAGTGCCAAAATAAAAGCACGCTGGGTTAACATGATATTGAAATCTTTTACTCTGGAAGAAAAAAAAAAGTGATTCTAATAAACTCACTGATTTATATGAACATAAACTGGCTCAGCTAAACTGAAACTATTAAAGGTTCATTATTTAATATTAAATTTAGTTTGAAAAGCTTCACACTGGGGGACATTAAGGAGAAAAGCCAGCTGCTCTCATGTTTGTGCAGTCAAGTATTGAAAATAACTTTATTTGCGCTGATGATCAATAAAATGTCTTTTTTTTCAAGTGATTTAGTTTAATCGTCTTTATTGTCACTTTCTGAAAAAAATAAGATTAAAAAAAATCTACTTTTTAAAAGTAATAAATATTCTTTCTGTGATTACATTTTAACACATTTTTTTTCTAAATAGTTTTAAATTTCTTTTTGATGGTGATTGCCTCCTTTCGTCTCGACGGCTTTCAGATAAGAGGCCATAAAGTTTTACAGCTTCTCTGGATCCGGTTTCTTTGTAGCTGGCTGAGAGCAAGGTACCAATAAACTTAAAAAAAAAGAAAAGAAAAAGATCAAATGCGTTGAGAAATTATTCGATATTATTTTAAAATGTGAGGAAGTGATTTCATTACTGATAAATATAAATATTTAGTATCGAGTCCACTTGCATTATAAAGCGCCTGAGCTGTTTTCTGCAAGCTCCTGTGAAACTCGGGGGTCTACAGACGAATTTATTTAATTATAATTATATTTATCTTTTAAAAAAAAAATTAAATCTGGGGGATAATTTAGGAGTCAGTAAAGGATTAAACTATGGCCTAAATAAGACGGTACCTGTGGAAGTGTTGGGTTTTTGTTTTTTGTTTTTTTGTTTTATTTTTAGACTTTAATGAAATGAAAACGTTAATTCAGATGTTTTAACATTTTGTGTTTAAATCCCAGCTTACATTTTAATGAAAAAGCGCTATTATATTGGACTTTGCGTCTCTTTGAGGGAGAAAAAGGAAAGCGATGGGGAGAATGTTTTGTATTTCAGGAATTTATGGTTTTATTGCGTCTATAAATGTTGGAAATCCTCTCTGTCAGTGAAAAACACCAGAATACCGACTGAAAGAATACTTAAAAAAACAAAAAACAAATCACATCGGAAATGACTCATTAGAAACAACAAGAAAAAAAGATGAATACGTTTTAAGGCCCAAACGAGGGAAAGTTTCATTCTGAAGTTGGGCTGTTTCAAGTTTTTCTGACCTTAAAATCCGCCTCAGGATGGCAGTTAAGCTCATTCCCATCTTTGGCCAATTTGATCTGGAGGAATTTCTCCACATTTGGAGAGATTATAATAGTCTTAATGCAAATAATCTTCACGCCTGGAGCCTTTTTATTTTAGAAAAATAAGAAGACTCAATCACCCGCGTCTGCGGTTTGGAGATTACATGATTATTTTTTCCTGAAAGTGACACATTTGACAAAATGCAGGAGGAAGGACTGGAGCCAGATTCACTTCCTGTTATTCGATTTGAATTTTTGGGTACGCGAATAAGACCACCGCCGTGGTTAAAGATCAATAAGAAGCTACAAACCTTTCCCGAACCAGATGGATCAGAACCGAGAGCGCATCCTTCCCCGCTGGCCACCCTCACACCTCCACATCCTGACTCGTTTCTACCATATTGACGCAAAATTTAAACATTTCATTCTTTGGGAGAAAATAAAGATGGCGGTGAGGAAAGCGCGTCCAAAGCACAAAAACGGCCGCTGTTTATGAAAATTTACAACTTTGCCTTGGAAGTTTACGACTCGCCTGGCTCGGGGATTGGTTGCTGAGGGGTCATGTGGACAGCAGGAATGGGAACTTATTTCCCATGAGGTTATATTGCAGCTGCTGTTTTCCAACCGCTCGTTCACTTAACACTTACTAACACAAGCTTTTTCTGGGCTCTTTGCATGTGCAGTGAGCGTTTGGAGTGTTCGTAAGAACAGCCGCTCGCGGTTTCGTGCGTAATTCCCCCCCTCTCCCTAAAAAAAAAAGAAAGTAGGCGATGGAGGCTCTGCGCAATTCCTGCGCCGTGCGCGCCTCGTTAATGTGGCTGTACTTGTGTGGCTTTATGTTCGTGAAAATGAGGGATCACCACACTCCTGGAATAGTGGGATTACTTTCATGAAATCACTTAAGCAAAGTGGGGATTTTTTTTTCTTTGTGGGGCTGACAGGAAGCGAAGAGGAGCTGCTGCGGAGTGGCACCCACACTGGAAATGACGGATTATCAACAAAGGTAAGGGCACCATGTTTCTGATATTCCTGCTGGTGCTGCTGCTGCTGCTTCACTGTCACTGCAGGCCTGATGTTTACAAAGCTGGAAACGGGAAGATCTGTCTTTAAGAAAGGGAAATTACCCTCTCCAAAGCATCTTATTATTCCGCTTGCGCTGTTTGTGCTATTCACAACCAGTTGCTGCCCTCTCTGTTTAACCCCTGAGGTGCTGCAATTCCTTTACACGCCAAATATTTTCCCTAAAATGGAGAAAAAAGACTCTTTTGCCGAGTCTGAGGCCTGCTGGCGACTGGTGTTGTATAACCAGGTGGCTTCAGGCCAGGCAAGCTTGACTTTGATGATGATGATGATGGTGATGGTAAAGGGCCTGTGCTACAGCTGAGTCATGTTTTTCTTGGAGGTAAAAAACAAAAAGATCTCCGGCTACACGTTTTTCACTCTGCTGATTGATTTATTCGGATTATTGTAATTCATTTTTGTGCTTTTATTCTGAAGAAATCGATTTATGCTGATATTGCGCACCGTGTCTTAGTTGTATCTTTTCGCCTTTCTGCTTTTTTCCCCCCTCACATTTTTTGATGTAGCTTTAAACAAATATTCGCTATGATGCATCCTCGTCCTGATTTTGCACAAAACGCGGAGTCAATAACCACCGCTGCTCTCTTTTATCGATTTATTTTCTATTTCCGGCGCCTCTGCAGGGTGTTCTGCGTCCTTTTTGATGCTGGGAGTTTATGGCGGAGGCCATAACGTGACGGGAAAACACGGGATTGCCTCTTTGTTAGTCAGTGTTTCTCCAAATGTCCAGCAGCTGTCCAGCACCGGGCTGCAGGGACTGCGGCCTGGCGGAGAGGCGCCAATCCAGCTAAAGATTAAGATTTGATTTCATCTCAATTCTGATCGAAATATTAAAATATAAAATGTTTTCAAAGCAGACATGACGCAAATAGAAAATCTGTGGGTCAAGGGCGCAAAATCAAAGACAAGAGGCGGATTATTCATTCCTGATTATTATTATTTTCCTCCCTCTATGAAGCTCTAATACAATTTATGCGTTTTATACTCACGTTAGAATACTTTTAAAAACTAACTGAACAGAAGGAAATACCCAATAATTTATTATAAATGCATTTTCCTTTCTTTTTGAACGAAATTCTGCAAACTTTACATTTAGAAAAGCGACTTAGCTTCAGAATGGAAGCAAAATGTGTATTTTATTAATTATAACAATCAATCAATACGAGTTAAATGATGGATAGAGAAGAAAAACACAGAAGACTAATAACAGTCGCGTTAATTTCCCTCCTTGTTTGCTTTTAAATACAAATTAGTTGATGGGTGAAAACAAAGAAACGAAAAGCAGGCTCCAGGCACCTGAGACGTCTTTCAACCCTTCATACTTACCAGTTTTTTTTTCTAAGTGTGAAATTGTTGTCCACTTCATCATGGTGTGTTAACGTGGTGATGATGATGATGATGATTATGATGATCCTGAGTGCCGGCGCGTGTCCTCCCCGCTGCTCTCTGCACGTCTTCGTGGACTTCAGTCAGTCAGGGTTGAATCAGGATGAGGTCTCACCTTCGAAGAGTGAAATATATGCATCACTGACGCAGGTTTCTTGCGTCCATGTGGATCAGTTTGTGCTCGTTTTAAAGGGTTTACTGGCAGAAGAGTTTTATTCCAGACTTTGTTGGCTTTAGTGAATTATTAAAGGAGATGGAAGTGAAGGTTAGAGGCTGAGCGAGGCTGTGCGTAAATGTTTTGCTTTTTTGCACCGTGTGTTTGTGTGTGACAGAGTGTGGGAGAGAGGGGGCTGGATTGCATGAAACAGGGGTTATATTTAGGCTTTTAAAAAAGTACAAATATATTTCTATGAGTCTTCGCGTCTGTGTGAGCGTGTGCGCGAGCGACAAGCTCGAGCGCTTCATTTCGATTCACCGGGGACTCCTGCGCGCAACAAGAGCCCCCCATGGGTGCAATAGTGCAAGCACAGACGGCGGTGATTGGCCAGAGGTTGATCAGATGGTACACTTCCCCTCTGTATTCAGTGGCACCTCACAACCCCCCCTTTCAGCAAAAACCAAATCTCCGATAAAGTAATGGCAAAACCACTTGGACTATAAAAGACAACAAATCATATTCCTCCGGAGTATATACACCCCGTTGTCCACCCAATGAGTTCCTATTTTGTTAACTCAACTTTTCCCGTGTCTCTGCCGGGAGGACAGGACTCTCTCCTGGGTCAGATACCGCTTTATTCCTCGGGATACACCGATCCGTTAAGACACTACTCCAACGCGGCCACATATGGAGCAGCCAACATGCAGGAGAAGGTTTACCCGGCGTCTTACTACCAGCAGACGGGTGCAGCGGCCGCGGCCATCTACGGCCGGGCCGGCGGCGGAGCGCCCTGCGACTACAACCCGGTCGGGACTTTCTACAAGGACGCGGAGGGCTCGTGCGCTTTCTCGAGCCGCGAGGACCAGCCGCTGTTTGTCACTCAGGAGCATCAGCAGCGCAAAGCGGAGTGCCCGGAGCAAGCTGTCAGCATGAGCAGCAGCATCGACGACAAGTCGTCCACGCTGATCTACCCGTGGATGCAGAGGATGAACGCCTGCTCCGCCGGTGAGTACCCACGGCCGTTAGAAGAGGCTACCTGCCAGGTGTGGAAAGCCTTTCAGATCATTGCGAGCAGCACAGCGCGCGGAGACAGAGCCGAGCGGGAAGTTTGTGTTTTTGGCGATTGCACGCGGAGATTCGTGCGCCTTCGGGGCTTTTGGCTACTACTACATCATCAGCACAACACAGGCACGGGCTGCATACCCGCGCGCACACACACACATTCACTACATTGCGCGCACGCACACGCACGAACTCAGTGGGCCTACACCACCCGAGCTTCAACCCAAGAGCTCCCAGCTCGCGTCACATGGCCCCCTTTTGGATTTTTTAACGCGCCTTTTGGCTAAAAAACTTAATTTAACGTCCCAAACACGAACAGAAAAATATGAATTTCACTGCAAATTAAAGGAGAAAACAAGCCTGCCTCTGACTGCACGTGCACAATGCGTGCTTTAGATGACACAAGAGAGCCAGTGCATCATTTATTATACAGAGACTGCGCTGTACTAATGACACTTTTCTGAAAGGCTTACTGTAACAGGCGCCATGTGGGAAGTTTAAGAGATATAATGGGACTACTGTCGTAATATGACATATATATGTGTACATTAAAAAAAACAAGATAAATTTGCACCTACAGAAAGGAGAAAATACAAAATAAAAACATACATTTTAATTTTTTTCGGACTTTTGCGCAGAACGGTTTTATTTTATTTTGTTTATTTGTATTTACTTAATTATTTAATTTGGATGCATCACTGCACACAGTGAGTGCGTTTTCCTCCCGCACTTAACATTTAATTATTAACACATGACTTCATTTTCATTGCAGGCCCGTTTGGCAGCAGCGGCCGCAGGGGCCGACAGACCTACACCCGCTACCAGACTCTGGAGCTGGAGAAGGAGTTCCACTTTAACCGCTACCTGACCAGGAGGCGCCGGATAGAGATCTCCCACGCCCTGTGCCTGACGGAGAGACAGATCAAAATCTGGTTTCAGAACCGCAGGATGAAGTGGAAAAAGGAGAACAAACTCCTTAACCCCTCAAAGACGCCCGAAGAGGAGGAACAGGCGGAGAAAAAGAGCTAAAAGGACACTTAAAATAAAATAAAATAAAATAAAAGGCATGTGTGTGTGTATGTGCACACTCCTGACATAAAAAAAACAATGTATTATTCCTTTGTAGATACAAAGTGCTGCCAAATCACATGTTAGAGACGTGTAGAGTTTATTCCAGTATCTGCACAGTGACTGTGTCCGCATTAGGTTAAAAATCAGAAACCAGGTCCTCCTCTGTTTGTCCTGTGTGTGCTCGTGCGTTTATTTAGGGGACTATGCAAAAAAACAAAAAATAAAAAACAAAAACAAATAAAATCAAATAATAATAAAAAAAAAATCCGCCAAAATGTAAATAATTTTTAGTGTTTGGTTCATGTTGTTACCTCATGATCGTGTAGGCCTACTGAGTTCCTTTCTTTGTTTTAATGTTGATTTTACTTTGACATTAAAAGAGGAGTTTTCGTCCTTTTAACTGTACATCCTGTGGCTGTGGTCGCTCTGTGATAGTCTGTAGGCTTGTTTTGTGCCATTAAAAAAGAAGAAAAGAAAGAAATTTGTACAGATGTTACATGTTATTTATTGTTGTCTTCGATGCACATCTGGATATTGTGTGCAATATTTTGTTTAGGAAATTGTACATAGAAATAAAGGCTTTTTGATGTATATTGGAAATTCTGGTTGTCTATTATTATTATTTGTACGAATATTATTATTAGTAGTAGTTTTAGTAGTAATGGTAGTGGCTCAGCTTCTTAAGCCACAATAAAATCATATAATACGGGCGTAAAAGTGAAAATTTCCCCCCTTTTTTGGATACTTTTGGGTAAAGTGCGCGAGTTTGGCTGAGATCTCGCTGTTTTGTGCTACCTGAGCCTTTTGTGGCCTGCGTTATGAGTGTTATATAAATGATGGATGACTCCGGGGGCCCTGACAGCGAGTCCCGGCGGGGTGCTACCGCAGCTGTCCGGAAGATGGCGCTCTCTGCCTGCGCGGCTCTCGGGGCGCAGCGGGGAGGCACCATTGACTGGAGCCCTAACGACCATTATTTCGTCATCATTTGTAACCATGGAGCATGAATTACCTCTTGAAGTCATCAGTGAGGATTTACGACTGGTCAACAAAGGCACGTGATTCCCGAACGCTCTCCCATATTTGGCCGCATACCTGGCAAAGTACAGTAGGGCTTCATTGCTTATAATTCATGATTGCATCCATAAATCGTGCAAGCACACAGGATTATAGCGACAAAGATCTACAAATCGAGGCTTTAAAAATCCAAGCAAATGAGCTCTTACTTTGTAAACTCGTTCTCAGGGCGCTATCCAAATGGCTCCGACTATCAGTTACTAAATTATGGGACTAACGGCGCTGTGAGCGGCTCCTTCAGAGACCCTGGCACCATGCACTCCGGGTCTTTCGGCTACAACTACAATGGCATGGACCTAACCGTGAACCGCACCAACACCGGCGGCCACTTCGGGGCTGTGAGGGAGGATGCCCGGGGATTTGGGGCGGACGCCCGCTACAGACAGACGCCCAACTGCTCGCTGTCGTCTCCAGACCCGGTGCCGCCGCCGCCGCCGTCGTGCGCCACGGCCAGCCGGGAGCAGCTGGAACTAAAAAGCCCCTCTCCTCCCTCTGACCGGAGCGCGACCTCGGGCGGCAGCAGCCTCAACAAAAGCAACAGCGCTCATTTCACGGAGATAGAGGACGCCACGGTCGCATCCGAGAGCGAGGAGGGCGCGCATAGCAGCGGCGGCGGAGGCTCCTCCGGCACGGCACCGCGGGCGCAGCAGCAGCAGCAGCAGCACCAGGAGCCCAACGCCACCTCCTCCACTCCCACAGCAAACGACTGCCAAACGCCACAAATATTCCCGTGGATGCGGAAGCTGCACATAAGCCATGGTAGATTTCCACCTCTCTTAATATTTAGTTTTGAAGGCTGTCACGCTGACGGTGTGCCATAAATCTGTCAGGTGTTGCATGAGTGCGCAGGCTGGCGTGGAAGGAAGAATTTAGAGGCAGAATCAGTAAGAAAAAAAATAAATCTTTGTGGGGTTGTTTGCTTTAAATGCCGCTGGAGCCCGGAGGAGGTGTGGGGTGTAGTGAGCTGTGCTGGCCCAGAGCTGCGGAGGGAAGGCTGATTGTTGTGTTGTGTTATGTGTCGTGTTGGTTGCATGCTTCCACCCATTTCATGCTGTGTGACCCCCCCTCTCCGTCCATTAAATCACAGCGAAAAGCCCCCCCACATTAAAAAAAGGGAGAAAAGACAGAAAAGAAAGTGTAGTTGTTGGTGTGCAGTGCGGTTGCTAATTTTCTGGATTTTCTGTAAAATTGTAGATATGACTGGACCTGATGGGAAAAGGGCCCGAACTGCGTACACCCGCTACCAGACGCTAGAGCTGGAGAAAGAGTTTCACTTCAATAGGTACCTAACCAGACGGCGGAGGATAGAGATAGCCCACGCCCTGTGTCTTTCCGAAAGACAGATCAAAATCTGGTTTCAGAACCGCAGGATGAAGTGGAAGAAGGACAATAAACTGAAAAGCATGAGCCTCGTAACGGGAGGGAGCGCCTTCCACAACTGAATAACTTTTTGGTGGAGTTAAAAAAAAAAACACAGAAAGAAAGAAAAAAAAGAAAAACATAATAAGTTAAAAAAAGAGAATCCATGAGTACTGTAAAGCTATTTAAAGCGCAGCACCTTCCAGCATGCCATTGTGATAGAAAAAGAAGTATTCTGTGGTCTTAAAATGCCATTTTTAGTTCACTGTTGTTGTAGCTTAGATGTGGAAAATAAGATGTAAATATCGCAGTGCTGGGGAGTTATCTGTCCATCTCTCCTCTCTCTTTCTGTCTCTTTCTGTCTTTCTCTTGAAGGTGTTTCAACTTGAGCTCTTTATTGTAACTTCTCCGCGGTCTAACAGGAGTAAATTCATTGTACAGTAAAAACAAAACAAAAAAACACGTTTAAAAAAAAGGAAAAGAAAAGAAGAAGTTTCCAAACCACATGCTGCTCTTCATTGAATGTAATGTATTCCGGGGGCCATTCAAAGCGCTTTAGTGTAACTTTTACTGCTATTTTTGATGGTTAACTTGTGGCCAAGATCCATAAACTTTCAAGCCAATGTGTAGCTCTAGGATATTTTGTGCATCTGTTATTATTATTATTATAATTATTATTATTATTACTATTGTTTAGGACTAATTATGAGCAATGCAAATGTATTCAACCTGTCAATGTGATAAATTTTTAGTGCAAAGGGTTATTCTGTGGATAGGCAGTGATGTAAGCTTTTTTCTCCAATAAGCTTTTTGTATTTGTAAGTGAACTCATAGCGCTTGAAAATAAAGTTTCTCTCAATTGCTTTGAACGTGTCTCGACTGTCTCATCGATTAGAATAAAAACAGATTCGGTTTTTCTTTAAAAAAAAAAAAGGCAGGCCATATTTAAGTGGAGATGCGCAACTTTTTCTGTGTGCGTGCGTGTGTGTGCGAGTGTGTGTGTGGCTGCTTTTCACCCGCATTAAACTTATTAATGATTAACCTGAAGGATTTGTTAAAATGTCTCACACACAAACAAGATTTCGGGTCAATTTTTGACGCATTGTTTTTGGCGCAGACGCAGTGAAAAAGAAGACTTTTAAAACACTTACCTCTCTGCAGCGAGATGTTTGCCATGTGGGAAAATATGTTGCTGATAAAATCCACCTTTAAAAAAAAAAGAGGGGGTAAAGCTTTGGCTTTACAGGTATATAGGCAAGGCTGAAGTTGGTAAAAATCCCCCTTACCAAAGATTGTATAGGCCTATATTACTTACAGACTGTGAAAAGTCACGTGAGGTCCATAAAGTTGGTTTTATGGTTTTGGGGAGTAGACAATGTACTATATAATTCACAACCTTGAATGAAAGTGACGGCTTAACTGCGTGGATGGGACTGCAAAGGCTGGACTGGGGAAGGAAGTGGTGTCCACTCATGTTTAGTTAGTTTAAGCTGCTGCGCGAAAACTTCCAATAACTGTTACGCATTAAAAGAGTGTGGCAGCTAAAATGTTATTTTAAAAACAGTCTAAATATTAAGATTTAATTGCGCAAATTTTAGTTCTCAGTTTCAGCCACAGAGCCACATTTTTACACTGATTATTTGTCACTTTTATCATGAAAATCCTAAACGTTTTGCTGTTTGAACATCCTCATTTAGAGGCCCCTGTTTCTGCTCAGCGTGGACACATACTGGCAGATTTTCATACTTAAAAGAAAGTAATCCAAAGTTTCTTTTTCAAACCAAAGCTGATTTTTTTAGGAGGGAGAATAAAATCTCTTGAAGGCTAATGAGAAGCTTTATAGAGCTGCCATGCAAAAACGAACTTGAGCGAGGTCCTGGAGTGATTTATCCGAATCTGTCAAGTCACCGAGCGGCCAAAGGTGAAGTCTCGGACAACTCCGAGCTGGACACAGGCTTCACTGACTTTACATAAAGAAAAGCCAGGCTATGTGGGTCCTGGAGTGCATTGTCTAGCGGCCACTAATAAAACATAATGATATTATGTGCAGGAAAGCAAAAGACTGCAAGAGACTTCTGCAATATTTCCAAAAGTATTTCCAAACTCATTTCAGGTTTAAGAAAAAAAAAAAAAGAGTAAAAAAGTAGTGGTGGGCTATATGGGTCCCAGACATTTTCCACATATTCATAACTATTAAGTGGCAATTTAGCCAGCGTAATGAGTATTGCATATTGATAGGGGTAATCTGTACCCGGATCTCATGCATAATTCATGGCGGCGGGGATCATCGCTGGGTCAGGAGACGGTAGAGACTGCAGCCCGCAGATGCGTCAGGAGGAAGACTTTGCACTGTCACCACCGAGGCTCAGGAGCGCAATAACGCGGTGCTTTTGCACAGGAGAGAAGAGGCTTCAATGCTTATATTTCTCATATTTTTCACAGTTTATAATCAGGGTTTCAATCACTCCAAAGCAGCTGCGTAAAATTAGCAGAATTCAGCTCCACTTTGCGCTTTTGTTTGCGAGAAAACTGAGTTAAAAAAATGTGGCGATGCACGCTGAGTTATATATCTCCTATATACATTTACAGAATTTAGAATTTAGCACAAATATCGAGGTCTTAGTTTCAAAATCAGCGAATAGAAAAAAAAAATACATATAATGTTGTATACCTAATAATAGAGAGGGTAAACATAAGGAGTTTGTATTTATTTGCACATAAATGTTAAAATCAGCCAGTCAGTGTGAACGACTTTAATCAAAATCATAAAATGCATGAAACCACCTTGAACATTTTTGTTTGTATGGGTGCTCAACATCTGGCAGGCTGTGTGTGACTTCACAGCTGCTGCCGTTTGTTTGTTTGTGTCCGTGAGGTCTCTGTAATGAGGCGGCTGTGCCAGCAGAGGGCGCCTCAGACCGAGCCGGCTGATGATGGATGAGGTTTCTTTCTGGGGTTTTTGCCTCCAGCTCGAGCTCTTATCATCGGGGGCATGTAAGTTACAGAGAAGAACAGAGAAAAAGACGAGCTTTGTTTATCTGTTATCTCTTTCAGTTTGAGCAGGTCGAGTGGAGGGAAACACATTTAATACTGCGCGCTCTGAGCTGGGAGTGAAGCTACTTTTTGATTTTTTAAATAATAATAATAATAAAAGGTTGGTTTCATTT